AAGCTGATGTTGATACTTTTAAAGCATTCATGTCTTTTGATGTTTGAGCTAATAAATGGTAGGTCTGAAATCTCTAGATCCTTGCATAGTGCCTGTTCAAAATCAATGCAAACATAGTTAACCATGATATGGTAGGGCTAAACTTGGATTCGGTAGTACCAGATAGCCATCATCTTGGTGGTTTGAGGCAAATAGAAACCGTCTGAAAAATACACAATTTGTCTTTTAAAGAGATTTTAAGCCTTCAATCAGGACCACAACAGCCAAAATAACATCTGCAGCCTTACCTATTTACAGTGCTGTGAAAAAGTATTTTCCCCATTTCTGATTTTTATAAATTTTTTGCATATTTGTCACATTTGCATGTCTTAGATTACTAAAAAAAACTTCAATATCAGACAAAGATAACCTGAGTGAATACAGAATGTTGCTTTTAAATATTGAATTCCGTTATCAAGGAAAAAACACTATCCAAACCTTCCTAGCCCTGTGTGAAAAAGTAATTGCCTCGTAAACCTAATAAGCAAGCTCTGTGACTAGGACCTCTTGGCCCTTTTCAACTCTCCACACTGAAAGCCTGGGGCAGGTGGCGAAGCAGCAAAACAGTTCAGAGCAGGCGTCATTGACAACATGAAAGCGATTAAGCCAGACAAAACATGAACGAAGGAAGGCGGTCTTCAAAGCAGGGTGTTGTCAGCAGTTCACAAATGATTTGTGAGATTTGACAAGAAGAGGCTAATGTGGGCTATCATTTAGATCAGCTGATCAGCCCAGAGTGTGGGCTGATTTTAACTGTGTGGCTTTCCTGATATGAAAAGTCTTACCGTATGTAAGACAACCTGGCAGTTAGTATAATAAAAGGCTGGTAACAGTGTCTCTACAATGTGGTATGGTCAGCTTCGTCTATAGATGACCTGCTTCATGCTTTTTTTGGTAGCACTGACTGGTGGATTGATGCCTTCACATTGCACATTAGCATGCTTTGGGTGGGATCTTTTCTGCTGCGATGTTATCCCGCTACTGTATTCTGATATGCTTGATGATAGCATTACAAAGTCAATGAGTCCTTTGTTTTCCCAGAGCAAACTAATTATGGCCGTTTCCTTCCTGCCCCTGTCTGCTGTATGCTGATAGCGCGCTCTCATCTAAGCTCTCGTAAACATCCGTCAGCTCACAGCGCACTGGCATAGTGGCTGCTGCACGCACTTAATTAACCATGCATGTATCTGTACACACTAAAGTAAATACAATCAGATGGATGTCATACAGCTCGCTGGAGAGGTGCCTGTTTATGCATCGTAATCAGTGATTTGTGGTGCAGAGGGTAACACAGACTATTAGGGGACATACTTGCCTGCCATGAATACTATGGACAAAATGTTTTGAAACCCAGTTTAGCCTGGGATGCCCTGACTGCTATTTAAAGATGCTCCATGTGACACTGCAACATCAGGAAAGCAATACGGCTCTAATTTTGAGGGGATAGTATAATTAGGCTACAAGTGATACTGTTGCTTGGGAGGTCTGGCAACAGGTACTGTCCCTTGGCTCTGCATTTTTTAGTACTGGTGTAGACACATTTGTTGTAAATCCTGCTGTTGTTTACTGAAAGGAAAACATGATGTTGAGCATAAAGTGGGGAATGATGCTGAGACAAAAAGGAGCGGAAACCTCCAGCTGCCCGTGAAGAGAAGTATTTGGATGGTGCAAGAATTTTACGCTATGAGGGCAAAAAAGGGAGTGGATCATGAAAAGAAAATCTCCAGCAGTACCAGCTCAGGTCAGGTCTCATGCAGTAGTTCTGGTGCTTTGATTATGTTAGTAATGCCTTACCAATCAGCCAATCAGAACCTTTTTTTTTAAGAGGGGCAATTAGAAGACAGGGGCAGGACCTATAATGGCTTGTTTCAGACGGAAGCTATACTAAAGTTACATATTAATATAAGGATTATTAAGCAGAAATGGCTAAATAAAAAGTGTTTAATTGTCATTTATGCAAAAAGTCTTGAGCCACCTCTAATTTCTTTAATATTAGGGAAAATGGCACATATGTGTGGTCAGTATTTGGTGTGACCACCTTTATTCTTTAGCACAGTGTGAACTCTCTTAGGATGCTTTCTTGTCACGTCTTTAAGTCACCTTCAGGAATAGTTCTCCAGGCTTCTTGAAGGGCATTCAAAGATCTTCTTTCTTCTCCACCACACGAATCCACACACCAACATGCTCGTAATCCAATGCAGGAAAGAGAGCAGCAGGTCTGGGGAGACTGTTCACACAGAGAGAGAAAAATCTCAAAAGCCAAACTCACTCACTCACGAAGTATCACGAAAGCTAGGAACTAACACTAACGTGTCTCATGCAATCATCCAGCGATGACAGGATCTGAGCCCCAGCCTTAAATAGCCATGGAGTAATCAGCTGTGCAATTAGAGCCAGGTGCATGGGCCAAAGGCAGGACCCGACAGTGAGACCGCCCAGGCAGAGCGACAAGGGGGAGAGAAAACCACCATAACAAATGTAGCCTCGCGGGGCCAGCCGGGCAGACACAGGGACCATGACACAATAATGTTGAGGTCCGGGCTCTGGGGAGGCCGATCCATGGCTGATACTGCTCCACTGTGGTATGCTTTGACTGTATTGGCAGTGTGTTTGGGATCATCGTCTTTAAAAAATGAAGCTGTTGCCAATCAGATGTTTTCCAGATGGTTTTGCATGGTGGAGCAAAATCTGATGGCACTTTTCTGTATTCATAATTCATTAATTTTTACAAGATCTCCAACACTAAATGTGGCTTCATCTCTACATCAGACCTGTTGTCACTGATTTTCAGTCCAGGTTCTTGTGTTATTTTCCTTCCTGAGGTTTTTCTCCCCTTTTTTCTCCCCTTCATTAAGTACTGCTTCTTGACAGCCACCCTTCCACTGAGACCATTTCTGATGAGGCTTCAGTAAGCTGAAGGTCCAGATGCATCTTTCAGGTCCCGTGTTAGGTCTTTGCTGTAGTTTTCCTGTCTCTTAAAGACAAAACTTTCGGATACTGTTCATCTGCTGTAGATATCTGTTTGGGCCTGATGCTTCTTTTTTGGTTTTCTTCCTCAAATTTGTTAAGGCTATCCCGAATACAAAATGCCAAGTTTCTGACATAACACTGGTTCATCCCTTGATTTAGGAGCCTTTTTTATATTTCAGTGGTTAAAATATCAGTATTACGTGTCTTAACAAACAAAAAACATTCATCTGAAAATGGTCAGATACAAAGATGGTGACTGAAAATTAGTCAAAAAAGCAGCCAATGTCTGATAAAGCTTCAGAAAGAACTATTGCCTAAAAGCGCTTCAAAAAAATTGTTTTTAAGCCTTCTTCTTTTGTCCTAGATGTTTCTAGTTTCTGGAAAAGTTTTTTTAGAAACTGTTTTTTCACTTTTTTTTTTTTCAAGGAGATACTACAAACGATGTTTTTCATCTAATAGCTCCTTGGGAATCACCTTGTTGAAAAAAAATGCTATTTTATTTTATTCATGTCAGAATATGGGATCTTTGGCATCTTTCACAGATTCAACAAAAGAAATGTGAACAAATGATGTGTTTTGGGAAAGGGTGCTCATAGCAAAGTGCCTAAATGGTTCTTTGCTAACTTTTCTGTTATGTGGCTGTTAAGACTGCTTTAGAAAATTACAAGAATGTCAGGCTCACTGGAATCAAAAGAAGGAAACAAGGGATGGCTCAAGAGTTTTGCACATGACTGTAGCATGCCGAATATTATACACTGTCTTTTGTTTTGAAAGGCAAAACTGTTTGTCAGTCAGATACTTGTGTACAATTCTGTTTCATGTAGTGCATATAAGCTCACTTAGGCTAGTGATGGTGGTAGTGTGTAACCTGGATTTCTGCCATGATATCTGAGTTGTTATTTAACACAAGCGAAACCACTTTGTACCGTGTTTTCGCCTGGATTCTCGTATACAGACTGACCAAGAAAAGCGGCATGCATAATAAATGATAGTCATACTATAATGTAATGTGTTTATCCATGTGGGAACTGAGTGTAATGCAGTGTTCATTAGTTTTGTGGTGTTCTCTGGAAGCATTCTCTCAGTGTGAGTTGACTGTGAAATGTGATTTTTGCTTGGAATAGATATTTCCCACACAGAGGAACAGTCAAGGGTGCTTTCTTTTTTATAGGCAGTGGTTATTTCTGTTCTGTTGGGAAACACTCAGGCATTCAAGAGGAAATATTCAGAGATGTCTCTCCCCCGCTGTCTCTACAAAAATAAATGCAATTCTTACAGTAGTGTTTTTAAAACACAATTTAAAGCACTTCAGAGAACTGAGGACACTAGCTGAGTCATTTTTCTGCTTCTACCCTCCTTTACTTACCTATTTTTTACGTGCTCTCCTTAAAAGTCAGACATGACTTCAGCTGGTTTCTCTCTTTCTCTTACAGGTCACCACATCATGTCAAACAAATACCAGCTATGAGCCGGTGAGTATGACATGTGCATGCATGTGTTTCAGCAATCTGTGTGTGTGTGTGTGTGTGTGTGTGTGTCAAACAAGACCATTAAGGAAACATTTAAAACTCCTGTTGACCTCTAAAATCCTTTTCATAAATTTGATGGCTGGCCCTTCCTAGAATTGTGTCAGAGCCACACACAGCTCTGTGAGGCCGTTGCTGGATGTCAACTATAAAAGCTTCCTCTCATCTCATAAATGCTGTTTGTACAAGGCAAACCAACTCAAACTGTGTCCTGTAGAGGTGATAATAGCAGTTGGTCACAATCACCATGTGACTGGCAGATCAAACCTAGCCAAAGGTAGAAAATTAATATGCAAGCACAAAGAACTATTCAGCCAATATGTCTGCCAGGAGCACTGGGACATTTCTTGGTGTCCTGATTGTTTTTTTCTGCCATGAACATGAAGATGACCTGGTATTCCACTGTAGCAAGCAGTGATAAATTGCCAGAGTTCAGGCATGAAACTCACACACTGTCCACAGGCAATGAAAAGACACGACAGGCAATGTATGCTGTGTCTACTGTAGGGGTTTCTTTGCAGACAGATTGACCAGAAAAATGCATGGTTTGAAAAAAAAAAAGTTAGAGTAGAACGTGAGAAATAACAATAACAAGCTAAAGCTTGTAATACTATATTTTAAAATATATAATACTATATTTTGTATTCAAAATCAGTTTAATTAAAGATCTTGAACATACTGGTGGATTAAAAATTACAGAAACATAAAAGGTTAATTTGGTAATATCCAGTGTTGTTAATTTAGGGCAGATGTGCCATAAACCTTAGATTTAATGGTCATCTGACAAATTTGTTAAGCAATGTATGTGCTGTGATTGGTGTTTCCTGGCCAGTTTTTGCAGGGTGTTTAGCTGTCTCAATGACTTTTCTAAAAGATAAATATTATAACAAGTTTGTTACCTCATAACACAAAACATATACTTGTAACACTGACAATAAAACATTTAAGTCCAAGACGAAATGTGCTTGATGCATTCTTTTCAAGTTAATTGCAAAGCTGCCCAAAATGTTTATCTCATGTTAGTGCTTTTCTTCTTCACTGCCTCTCATGACAAGGTGTCAGTTTACTGATAACTTATCGCTACCTGTGAATGAGTGGGAGTCTGCAAAATCATTGGCACATATGTCCGCCCGCATGTTTAAACATGAACAAGAAGGAAATGAAACCAGGGCTCCGTCATAGTGTGGTTGTGTCACAGGGTCCTTTTTAAGAAATTTTCTAGGCTGTCACTTCTGTTCTCTCACTATGAACTTTAAAGAAGTCCAGACGCTTTTCTTTCCAAGCTCCTTAGACTGTGATGACCTGAATGACTGAGAACCTCCATCCATCCATCCAACCATTCATTTTCTTCCGCTTATCCGGGGCCAGGTTGCGGGGGCAGCTGTTATAGTCGAGAGATATAATCTCTCCAGCATGTCCTTCTCCTGGTGGGACATGCCCAGAACACCTCTCCCAGCAGGCGCCCAGGAGGCATCTTTGTCAGATGCTCGAACCACCTTAACTGGCTCCTTTCAATGTGGAGGAGCAGCGGCACTACTCTGAGTGGCCGAACTTCTCACCCTATCTCTAAGGGAGAGGCCAGCCACCCCTCGGATGAAGCCCATTTCTGCCGCTTGTATCCACGATCTCGTTCCTTCGGTCACTGCTCAGAGCTCGTGACCATAGGTGAGGGTAGGGTAGGTACTGTTTATCAACCGGTAAACAGAGAGCTTCGCTTTTACACTCAGCTCTCTCTTCACCACAACAGACCGGTACAGCATCCACATCACTGCGGCCGCTGCACCTATCCATTTGTTGATCTCCCGCTCCCTTCTCCCATCACTCATGAACAAGAACCCGAGATACTTAAACTCCTCCAGTGGAGTGGGCACTCCACCCTTTTCCGGCTGAGGACCATGGCCTCAGATTTGTAGGTGCTGATTCTCATTCTCACCGCTTCACACTCGGCTGCGAACCGTTCCAAGGCGAGCTGGAGGCCATCACAGCATGAAGCCAACAGAACCACATCATCTGCAAAGAGAAGAGATGAGATCCTGAGACCACCCAAGTGAAAGCCTTCCGCCACTTGGCTACACCTAGAAATTCTGTCCATAAAAATTATGAACAGAATCGGTGACAAATGGCAGCCCTGGCAAAGCCCATCACCCACCACGAACGAGTCCGACTTATTGCCGGCTATGCAGACAAAGTATCCTTGAGAGGATGAAGAGCTGATCCAGTGTTCCACGACCAGGACGAAAACCGCATTGTTTCTCCTGTATCCGAGGTTTGACTAGCAGCAACCTGGCATAGACTTTCCCAGGGAGGCTGATGAGCGTGATTCCTCTGTAGTTGGAACACACCCTCTGGTCCCCTTTCTTAAAGATGGGAACCACCACCCGGGTCTGCCAATCCAGGGGTATTGCCCCTGATCTCCACGCAACATTGTAGAGGCATGTAAACCAGGACAGCAGGACAGGACAACATCCAGAGCCTTCAGTAACTCTGGGCAGACCTCATCCACCCCAGGGGCTCTGCCACCAAGGAGTTGTTTAACTGCCTCAGTGACCTCACCCTCAGAGGTTGGCGGTCATCCCCTTTGTCGCCAAACTCTGCTTCCTCCACGGAAGATATGCCAGGGGATTAAGGAGGTCCTTGAAGTATTCCTTCCACTGCCCAGCAATTTTCTCAGTCAAAGTCATCAGCACTCCACCCGCACTATACACAGTGCAGGTAGAGCACCGCTTTCCTCTCCTGAGTTGCCTGACGGTTTGCCAGAATCTCTTCGAGGCAGTCCGAAAGTTTTTTCCATGGCCTCTCTTAACTCCTCCCACACCTGAGTTTTTGCTTCCGCCACCGCTCGCGCCGCATTCCGATTGGCCTGTCGGTACCTATCAGCTGCTTCCGAAGTCCCCACAGGCTAACCAAGCCCGGTAGAACTCCTTCTTCAGCTTGGTGGCTCCCCTCACCTCTGGTGTCCACCATTTGGTTCCGGGATTACCACCACGGCAGGCACCAACTACCTTGTGGCCGCAGCTCTGTGCAGCAGCTTCAGCAATGGAGATGCTGAACATGGTCCATTCGGACTCAATGTCCCCTGTCTCCCTCGAAATGCTGTTGACTCAGGCTCCTTCCCCACCAGAGAGGTGACATTCCATGTCCTGATTGCTAGTCTTGGTAGCCAGGGATCAGGATCCGCCAGGATAACTGAGAACCATCACAGACATATTCTCTCACTATCCCCTTATCCAGCTTTACGTCAATCATCTTGCTTAATACAAAAAGAAAGTATAAGGATTGCAGTAAAGGGGGTGGCTTTTACACACAGACTTTTAAAAAGCATCCACACATCCTGTGGTGCTTTCAGTAATTTGGTATGAGCTATGCGGATGCTGCCACACTGAGCAGAAGAGGAACGATAGAGAGCCTCAGTGAAAATCATTATTCCCTTTTCCGTTAAAGCTTTCTGTTTTAGAGGATAAAATGGGATTTATGCACTGCGACAACGAGACTTAAGCCATTTTCATTTTAATGAGCTTGAAATTGGAGTTTTCATTCATTTCCACAAAGAATGCTTGCTCAGCAAATGTTAGGTCATGATTAGAAAACCAGGAGAAATACCAATTTGATCATTTCCCTTATTTGTAGTGAGTATTTAATGAACTCAAATATGAGAGGGATCAGTTGGTCCTGTTTTATATTTTTATGATTAAACCACCAATAGTTTGACCAAATTTGGAAGATTCCAGGCTACAATAACTACTTTTCACTTATTTACTTTGGGCTTTGGTCTTTTAAAATCACTGCTGCAGCTTGTTAAACAGTCCTTCGGATTTGTTTACAAAGCTCACAGCAACCTAAGACCCTGTACTTAACTCAGTTAAGAGATTTTCCTTAAAACATGGATCAAGCTCTGTATCTCTGTGCCTCTAATTACATACTTTCTTTTTCTTTCCTTCTTTCTCCATCTCTGCCTTGTTCAGGGACAGACATGCACAATTTAAGAAACTGATTTGAAATTTTAACTCTTTATATACCTTTGAATGCAAATACTGTAAAAACTCACAAAATGTCATGAAATTAGTCAGCAGAGACTTCATGCAATAGGATTTAATTGAAAAGTATGACAAGGAAAACTGGATCCAAACATACATCTGTATTTAGTTTGTCTCAGTTGTTAGTTTGGTCAACCCTAAACACCCAAATACCCTAAAATAAGGACATTTGAACTGGCATCAAAATCTGAAGTAACCTCAAAACAACATTTAAAAAAAAAACGTGACTGATAGTAGATTTTTCGGAGCTAATACTGATGCTAATACTATGTTATTGCTATACTGAACAGAGAAAATTAAGTATTCATTGTTTATGGACTTTCCAACAGTGTTCTAACTTAATATGTAGTTGGGAACTTACCGTAAAGATGCAGATTATCTCCACTCCACCAAATGCTAAGTTGTGATGCTACTCTGCTTTGTGTGCTACAGACTCTCCTGAGAGTTCTATAATCAAAGGACTTACTGCGCTTTGCTTAATAAACTATAGGATGATGCTATTGCTCAATCACCAAAAACATATTTGTTATGCATTATGCTCCATACAACAGAAAATATTTTGGCAATATTTATGCTAATATGACTATATCTTTGATAGGAAAATGTTGGCTGATTATATAGAGAAATAGAAATGTTATGGTTTTTGTATTTTCACAAAAAATTAAAAACAAAAGAAGGAATAGTTACTCTTTGTGCTTTCAACAGCGGCTGCAATTTACTTTACATTTGTTGCCTATCTTTTTGCTTTCTTGAAGGGTAAAACATACCTTAAAGCCAAATAATCATATAGCATCTGCTAGTTGGGGTCATTGTTCAAAAAATTAATATATTAATGTAAAATGTAAACATTGCTTGTTACTTCTTGGTTCTTAAAAGTATAAGAGAACGTTAATTAGCAAATTTGTTTAGCTACACTTTATGTTACGCTTATGGTACTCTGTAACATGATCCGTCTTAATGATGACACACAAAAACATCAATAAAAGGCTGTGAATAAACATGAACAGATAGCAATAAAGGCTACAAGCCTGCCTGCCTTTGTTACCTGTTGAAGATCAGGCTCTGACTGCTGGGCTGGAGTCTGCATACACTCAGCTGAATCGAATTTAATACAGTAATGCATTACATTACTGTATTACAGGCAAATGTAATGTTGCATTACATTAGAACATGTTACGACTGAAACCTACACACACTGAGTGAGTATGGTAGGTGACCCACCCAGGCAATAAGTGAGAGCGGGACATCCAGCAAGGAAACCTGGTTCTCACATCTCCTTCTCATCTTTTTTTCTCACCATGTTGTTTCTTCCTTTGTGTGAAAGAAACAATGATTAACCCGCTGACTGTCTCACTTTTCTCTCCAGCCTCCCACTCCTCAGCTGCCATTAAAGCATGTAGATACACCGGTAAGTAACACTTCTTCTGCGTAAGTGTAATGCCAAGAAGACATGCTTTAAAAGATGTTCATTCATAAAAGCTGCTATTGTTATTGCAACAAGACGCTGGAATAACAATCCTCAAGTACATTACTGTATGAAGCAAAACATACACAGACACCTGGATAGATACAGCTATGTACTTTTTTTTCTCAAGGTTCGTGCAAGACCCCTCAGTTCCTGCAATTACAGAAATAGTGCAGTTCCATATATGTTGCACCACATGCATGGAACTGAGGTCTGTAGAGAAATGGTTTCCCCAATTCAGTGTTGAAGTACTTGAATCACTTTCACAACCCTATATAACACAAACATAAGCCAAACATTACTGTCAATTATCACAAGCCAACCTCAGCTATTGTGGCTGAAAGGGAGCAGTCCAACCAGGTTTCATATAATTATGGAAAACCTTCACAGAATAGCGAAGGAGCCGATTAATGCCAATGGCTAAGGTTTTAATTTGAGGCGTCCACATACAGTTTCTCAAAAAATCCAATTATTAAGAAGCAATAAATGTAATAACAATGACTCAGCAGGCACTGAAATATGCTGTGCTTTGAATAGTATGTTTTGAAATAGAGAAACATGTGCAGCAACCTACTGTAGAAACAAATGCTAACTACAGACAATATACAGTGCAAACTGCACACATGAGCTCTGATATTTGCATTAATTCATGTAAAATTACTTATTACTAAATTAAACCAACTAAGGAGAGTCTCCATCTAGTTGTATATTTATTAGCTTTGAATCAATAATTTAATCAGGGAATAATTCTGTTAAGCCTTGATCTCAAACATGGTTCACTTTAAATCTTACAAACTGCAAAAGGTACAAACTGCACCATCCACTACATTTAGAACTCAGTTTATAGACCCTTAAAGACTGGAGCATACTTTTGCAATGGATAATTTCAGACTGCATATGTTCAGATGTTCAGGTTAGCTGAGGTGTCTGTTCTGTACCACTGTAAATGAATATGTGGTACATACCTGAAATTAAAAAAAAATAGTAAGCTGTAGAGACATATGTTTCTGCCAGTCCACTGCAAATTTTCTCTTATTTGTGCCAGAAATCAATGCCAAGTCCTGGCTAGAGACTAGGCATGCTTGTTCTGTCTGACATTGCTAACAGTGGAGAGTGTAGGCATAGGTGGCGGGGACCCAAGAACGGAAGAGCTAAAAAAACAAAACAAAGAAAGAACAGAGAAGAACACTACCAATGTAAAACGAAAACTGTTATTTAATGCAAACCAATCCAAAGGTCGCAATTAATTCTTTTTGACTAAAAGGGTTCCTTTGTCTTTGTCTCCTTTTTCATAAGACCAGAGGAATTTTGTATTTCAAAAGATAAAAGCAGAATTCTTACATCCTTGTTTTTCCTCCTCTCTTTTTTTGTGTGTCTTAATGAGTCCATGTCTACATCCAATGTCCCCCGAATGTTTAGATCAGAAGCAGGAGATGACTCAGAGTGGGATTATTAACACAGATCGGCATGTACACACCAGCTTATATAGAGATTTATCCGCAGTTTGTGCCTTGGGAGATAGAATGGAAGATGATTATGTCTAATGTGCTATATGCAAAGAACAAACAAACAAACTAAAACAGACAAAAGCACAAAAACACCGTCAAAAAATGAGAAACAATGACCAGACACATTTTATCTTGCTAGCTAGCTTATACAACGTAGTTAGTGTCCTCCTATTGCTGTCCAGGAAGTATGATTGAAACACATCCAGAGGTACACAGCTTTAGTTTATCAAGAGCATTCTTTAGTTAGCTTTTTGCATTTGTTGTTAGCTACCAATCTAAGCAAACATAAGGCTAAAGTAAACAGCACATTGTGCTAGCTAGCAACAAATTAAAGTGTGTATTTAGCCACAAGTACTTAACTGCATGCAGAAATTTAGTGTTTAGCACATCCTGAGGATGAAGTTGGTTATGTCTCAGTGTTTTGAGCAGCTTTTATGGATGTTTTAGAGTGCCTTTTTATTGTGAAATTAGGCTAGTGTTGGAAACCATTCCAACAGCTATGAATTGCAGCTCACTACATCTTGTCAAACACAATAAAACAAGCTGCAAACATGTGAAAACCTCCGCCCTCCTCTTATTGCTCAATGTTTATTAATCAGCGATACTTTTTAATATTTTTAACATCATTCTATCAAAATATATTTTTTTAAAAACTGCATTTAGAAGTGTAAGTTATATTCATCCTGTTCAGTTAAATACAAGCCATGTGTTGCGGCTTCATAGAAATGTCATCTTCTTGTGTAAACAAGCAAGCAACTGAGATTGTGAGGAAATAAGGCATACTGATGAGAAACACCAGCACTAAAAATACAAAGACAGAGGCTACTAATTGTATTGACTATGGTCTTGTTAATCTTTTTAAATTGTAACTATAAAAAGTTGTCACAAACAGTTTGACAGTGGCATACTGGTATTTGGGACTAAACATATACAGTCCCTTCCAGACATTTCCAATAAAAATTGTGTTGTATCGTCAGCTGAATTTGTGATCCTAATGTATCAATCATGCCTTTTGTTTAACCAGTAAGATCTCTGTTGTGGTTGTCATGTATTTTTATAGCATTCCCAGTGTTATCCCATTGTATCAAGTTGCCTTTTATATATTTCACAGATATAGTGTTATGCTTATTGGTTAATATGTTGAGGAGTTGTCATGGTATCCTCTTCTCTCTGTACATAAATCCTGGAGTCATCATTTATGAGGTTTTCCGTGTATGTGTGCATCTGTGGTGTGTGGACCAACATGCAGATGGAATATTTATTTGGTTAGTCCATGCAGGATACATGCATTGTGGTTTTGACTCAAAATGCACCATTGTGATTATAACAGAGTCAGTGTGGGGCCTACTGAGGGTCATCCAACGGTATAATGGGGATTTTTGAAATCAGTATTTAGCATGGAAGAGTGGATGCACAGATGTAAGCTCTACCTAGAGAAGAATCAAACATAATTCTAACAGACAGAAAATGTTATAAGGGACGATCGTGGCCCAAGAGTTGGGAGTTCGCCTTGTTATCGGAAGGTTGCCGGTTTGAGCCCCGGCTTGGACAGTCTCAGTCGTTGTGTCCTTGGGCAAGACACTTCACCCGTTGCCTACTGGTGGTGGTCAGAGGGCCGCCAGAGTGTCCGGCAGCCTTGCCTCTGTCAGTGCACCCCAGGGTGGCCATGGCTACAATGTAGCTTGCCATCACCAGTGTGTGAATGTGTGTGTCAATGGGTGGATGACTGGATGTGTAAAGCGCTTTGGAGTCCTTAGGGACTAGTAAAGCGCTATACAAATACAGGCCATTTACCATTTTACCATTTTATTTTTATTCCACACTTAATGTAACCTGTTATTCCATGCTGTTGACCATATTCTTAAGGGTAGTTAGGGACAAACATTTACAGGACCCAGACACCACACAAGCACACAGGATGGTGAAAGATATGAGCCAAGAAAAGCTGCAGGGGAGAGAGGGGCAGTCAGATATAATGAGAGATAATAAGACCAAGGGAGGAGTAGTTCCAGAGAACAGAAAGTGGGTGGGAGGGAGGAAGAAAGATAGAGAAAGTAGGGAGAAGACAGCTGAGAAGGAACGAAGAAAAGGAAGATGCATCATGATATATTACATAATCGCTGATCAGGCTCGGCACAAATGGAAGGGACTTTAACATCTTGACCATGAGGATGTTGGAGAGAATGAACGATTAAGCTTTGACCACCTGGATAATCAGTTGAAATCCCAAAAAAGAATGAGATGTACAGCACCAAATTTTGCTTGGATTCTTTCGATTTTATCAAAAAGCCTGGTATTTGCAGCTTTATCGTTGCTTAGAAACAGAGAGCAGTGGGTCCTCGCCATGCCTTTGGTCAGCACCATTCGAATGCATTTTGCCAACCTGCTTTCTGGCTGGAGGTGTAGTACTGGGTTCCAATTTGGCAAGGTAGGCCACTCCCATGGAATAAAGGTTTTTTTTTAATTTATGATTAAAAGTTGTAAAATAACTAAACTTAAATTTCTTAGTGCCTTTTAACCTATGTGTACTGCATTCAGTCTTCTCCCACTATTTCTCTATGAGATACGTATATTGTAAATATAGAAATGAATTACTCAAAAATCTTTCTAAAATATTTTTAAACTGAGAGGAAAATAATTTATTTGTGATAATAAGATAAGTAGTAGTCTGTGGTAAAATGACAAGACAAGCTCAACCATTAAAAGTATTTAAAAAATGGAAAGGAACTAAAAAAGGAATTTGTCGGAAATGTTAACGTTTAACAAATTAATGGCTAAGCATCAGGAAATTGAAAACAAAATACATTAATTACAAATTACATTAACTATTTATGTATTTTTAAATATATAAAAAATGTACAGTGTATAAATATCTAATATATAAAGTATCTAAATATACACAGACACAGGTGTGAATAAACAATTGGCCTATCATGGGTGGGAAACCAGAAGGGCAGAAGTAAAACAAACAAACAAAAAACTGGGTTACAGAGTATATAAAATAAAACAAAACAAAGTAACCAAAAGTCAGTGTCTTACAAAAAAACTTCACGTCATCACAAACATGATGAATGAATTGGTATAGCAAGACAAAAGTACATATACGCATTTAAAAGTTCTTAACTTACAGTAAAAACAAATTTGTTAGCATAACTGAAATTAAACTGAAGCTCCTCATGAAACAAAAGCAATTAAAAGATTAGAACATTAAATGAAAATTAGTACATATGAAAATTAGACTATTACTAGATTAAACTGCATGTTAATAATACAGATTAATACTCCATTCCAGATGCCTCGAAACTAGGTCAGAACTTGGGAGTGACATCTCTTAAGAGTTCTTGCAAGTTCCAGGAAAAGTGATTATACGTGATTTTTTTGCACTTGAAAGAACACATTTATAGATCTCATTACTGTTGCGCTTATTTAGTGAGCCAGAAATACAGAACAGATTAAAAGTTTAGTTCTACTACAGTTTACAGTCAGCGCCACCATCTTGGATTGCTAACTCAAGGTATGCTAGTCTACTTCGACTGTCCAAATGGGAAATCTGAGTGAAGGGGGTCTTCTGCAAAAAATGTGCAATTAGGGACTCAATTGCAATTTGGAACTTATGATTTCTTACTTAGTCAGGAACACACCATAACAGCTGAAAGAATACGACAGATAAACATTTAGAATTGCCCAGATGCCGAGCTGCAAAATGGAATAGTGTCTAAAAATCATGGATGAATGTTTCAAATTGGAAGTTATGGAATAATAAAACAGATGAATAAAGCTGAACTCAACACATTTAAACATAAAAGGTGTTTAAGAAAAGCTTTTCTTTTCAGTCTATTGGCGCTTAGGAAACACTTGGATAGAAAAAAGTTGGGAACCACTCTTCTCCTTTATATTTATAGTAGAAGCAAGATTGAGTCAAAACACATTGCATTGGTCATGCAGTGGCTGTGGCTTGTGTTTTTAATAGTGAACATCAATAGAGAGCTTGGGTACAGATGTAAGTCTGAGGTAGATGCAAAACCCGGTGTCACCGGGCAAACAGTGAACGTTAAATCTCAGAGACGTTTACCCCACTTTATATGCAGATTGACTTTCATTTATGTATCTACGTTGCTGCAGGCTAACAGATTGTCCCTGTGATGTGACATATAACATCGAAACACTTGTGAAGCCTTGTGTGAACAGGCTGTTTTGCAAACACCATCGTCCGTGGTGCGTTTAGCATCTGGTTCCTGTCAGATCACTTAGAATTATGTGACCATTTTGGCTCATTGGGGTGGGGGGTTGCATTAGCTTTTTCTATGGGAAGCCACTCGCAAGCAGTAAGAAGAGCCATGGGAGCTCCGTGTTTAACCTTGAGACACTTCTTGCCAACATCACTTATTTAACCTCTTCAGCGGTGAAGCCGAGCGCTCACTCTTTATGACAATGTGGGGGGGGAAAGTAAAGTATGTCACAGATGATGTCCGCGGAGATTAATTCAGCAGTTGTTTTGTCTTTTTGGATGGCTTCATCTTCCTGACTCACACAGAGTTATCCCCTCAGCCGACAGGCAGTAAGAGGAAGAGCCAACTCTAGCATCTATTATGCAGCAATTCCTCGACAGTACAGCATATTTTCCATCTGCAGCCCTGTCACAGTGAAACAACCTGTTCTCACTCTTCCCTCTGTAAATATCTGGGTAAAGGACAGGATAATTAATTGTGTGCTCGAGTCTTGACAAGACCCCAGTTCAGGATGGTTTTCTGTTAAAACACTCCTCATTTCTCATACTTGTTTTTTTTTTTTTTTTACACCTCTTATACTTTTTCGTTATTCTTTGTCTTCTTTCTGTTGCTCGGTTTCTTTTGTCAAGCGTCTTGGTTGAATGCCTTCTTTTGTCAGCTGCTTCTTTTACTTTTCATCATTCTGTTTCAGATGATTCTTCTCTCTCCATCTTTTCATAGCAGTTTCAGTTTTGTGTCTGTGATCTGACTTTTCCCTAATAGCTTATGTCAGACTGTAATTCAATAAAATCATCATGACTACCAGATGGAGTTTGCTTATGAATCATTTTCCTCCTCTGACTCCCACCATCTGCCTGTGTGTGCCTGTGTGTATGTGCTCACCAGGGATCTACGAGGTCCTGCAAGAGTGTGGAGATAAGGCAAAAGCAGTCGCGGTAAGAAAGCACCATCACACAGCCATGTTGTATTGTTGTTCACACTGCTTTCATTAGGAGAAATAAGGGTTCCATAAGTGGAAAAAATTAAATCTATTTTTTTCTACAATCTAAACAGCATGACTTCTATTACCAAATTAGTCTTTAATAAGCTCTTTAAGTCATTACAGTCCTTGATTATTATTAATGAAGATTAGAAACTGATTGTTTGTGCTGGGTGTGTAGGAATGTAAATTTTCACTCCATATTCTCCACTGTTTGTCGTTCTTGAAGCATAGCTGTTTCTCATGCAGGGCTTTACCGTATGTCTGCTGACCAAAAACAAAACAGAACAAAAAAACTGCGCTGTTTGGCCAGTGAAATAGGTTGCGTAATATTGGAAGAGGTCATGTCAACAGTCACAGAAGGACTGAAAATCTTTTCCTTTCCAAGAAATATAAGAGTGAGCTGCAGGAGTTTACATGTGATGAAGTGGATGTTTGTGATAAACTCTGTTGGCTAATCCCAGAGAGAAATCAGAGAGTTCAAGAAATGTTCTCACAGCAGCTGCAATCCTGCACTCGAATAGAACTGGAAAACTTGTGATTGGTGCTGATAAGGTTAAAAGGTCAAAGCATCCTTTACAAGATGTGTCCTTCTAAATTGAGTTGCCTCTTAAAGATTTCTGGCAACTATACAGTAACTATGTTGAAACGTACCAGTATATTTTATTAATTTATATTTGTATCTATCATAATGAGATGTAATAAAGATGGTCTTTTTCCCAAACACAACAAAAATTTAATTTTACAACAAGTCAGAAACTGCATGAAAATGAGAAGCTGGGATGGAGATGGTTGCAAAGCGGTTTGCACCGGCAGCTATAACTGTAGATAGACTAAAATAATTACCTACAGTGTGCTATGTAAAGCTTGGCTGATATTAGCTGTTTGCCGATGCACTGGATTTGGCATTTACTGTGTCTACTGTGTACAAGCAGCTTCCCTATTAGCAACAGAGTGACTTAAACTTCACTCTCGCCATAGTATGGACAACTACACATATTAAATATTAGAGAACAAGGATATGTTTTGTATGTTTCAAATGGAAAATAAATGGTCTGATGTTTGTGATTTCTCAATTATCAAATATTGGTATCATTCTTAAAAACCCTTTACTGGTTGGGGGTCTAAGCCTGTATGACACTATATGACATGTGACAAACTCAGTAGGGTTTGCAAATGAATATTGCAGACTGAGCTTAACTCTGTGGACTCTGTGATTGAACTCTGATCAGTGCAGATCTATCAGATCTATATACAATAGAGTTGACCATTCCCTTTGAAATCACAGCTTATGTTGCTTCGAAAAGAACTTGTTGCCAATCAAAAATGTAAAATGGTGCTGTGATATAAAATCTGCCACTGCCAAGCTTCAAGACCTTCTGCACCTTCTACCTCTGCAGGAGTCAGAGTGTGGTTCAGGCCATGGAGGAGAGCTATGAGGTTGACCTGGTCTACATCACAGAGAGAATCATCTCTGTCTCTTTTCCCGCTGGGGCCGAGGAGCAAAGCTACAACACCAACCTCAAAGAGGTGGCGACGATGCTGCGGTCAAAGCATGGCGAGCACTATCTGGTAAGAAATACCCTCAGCTGAAACTGGAGCACAGGACTGTATTGACACTTTTGTTTGCTGTTCGTCAGGTTTTTTGGAAGATGGTTACAGTATATCCTTGAAAACAAAAAACAAAGATTTTCTAAAATGCATCACATGTCCATCAGTTGCTTTGATATACTCTCTTCCTGATTTCAGGTGCTCAACCTGAGCGAAGGACAGAGCGACTTAACAAAGTTAAACCATAAGGTACAAACATGACATATACTGTATATTCATGGTTAGGAAGAACAAAATTCGAAAGCGAAAGCTCATTTGATGGATAATCATTCTCAGGTTCTTGAGTTTGGCTGGCCGGACCACCATGCGCCAGCACTGGATAAGATCTGCAGCATGTGCAAGGCCATTGACATGTGGCTCAATGGAGACACACGCAATGTGGTGGTACTGCACAATAAGGTAAGGCAGAAAAACAAAGTGTAAAAACATCTGTTATAATGCGGCGGTGATGTGCTGGAACATTTATTGGCTGGGCATAGAGATTGTAAAGTTTCCCTCTAAATATGGAAATGTGATTATTTTTTTCATTGCTGATCTCATAAAATCAACATAATTTGTAGTTATTCAGTTTCATAGCTTGACATAAAACATAGTCACTGTGAAGTCACACATTGAGCTATGGACTACTGTTTTAAGCTCATCTAGCTGAAGGTCCGTTAACCTTATGCCGTGGTGAAACGTCCCCACTGAACATGTGAATTTAATCAAAATAATACACCGCGATCACATAATTGGGTTTCACCCAAAACTGTTATCAAGGCAGTGGCTTATGAGCCGGATGAGCTACTGTATCACCGGTGTTCTTTTTATGTATTCTGGTTGTCACTGTTTTTAAGGTAATCAGAAGTGAGCATAATTGGGCTAGAGCGCTAACACTTGGCTAGCTTTGGATAACTCTGGCTTGCTTAGTTAGCAAGCTTAGACTTTAGAGATACACAGGGATATCTTATGTATTAAAACTTCTCCAAAAGGTAAAATACCACAAAACCAATTAGGAGTTTCAATTTACTTTTTCAGCTTTGATAGGCAAGTCTAGTAAATGGCATTCAACCTATTTCATAGCCACCAGTCATTCAAAGTATTAAAATTTAAAGTGGTCACCACCAGTAAAGATGTTACAAAAGGGAAAATTAGCATTAATTTAGCATTAAATTCTGCTAGTCATTTTAACTATGGCTGGTAACATGGGCATGTACAGGAATTGGCTGCTTGTGAAACAAGCCGAAAGTTGAGAAACTACAGTTTCTTCATCTTTCAGCCTTGGAGGCTGCCGATTGTTTAGCTCTCACATTTATGCAATGAATCCTCTGTTGTTTCAGAGAATTTGCACATGGTATCCAGATAAAGCAGGACAAGCAACAAAGTTTATGCTCGAATTGAGCCAACTGCTTTAACCAAGCAGAATGATTAAACATTATTATTTATATATAGCTCCAACTTTTGGGTTTCAATTACACGTGAAAATGCTTGAAGACCAATTTATTACCATCGCAGGGGGATTTGTTTCTGCTCTGTTTCTTGATCATTAATTCAATGATCCTTTTGGAATCTTCCCTAAGTCCCATTATTTTTCCTGTTACCCATCTTGACTCTTTATATCATTTAAACAAGCCCTGTTTTGTGTTTCATTCACAGGGGAACCGAGGTCGAACGGGTGTTGTGGTGGCTGCTTACATGCATTACAGCAACATATCTGCAAGGTATCAAACATGTCATGATCAGACACAGCCTAAAACGTGTTAAAATGTAGTTTAAAATGTAGTGTTACATATTAGATTGCATTGGTGTTTGAGTTTAAACAGAGGTGAACATTTTAGGCTGTCAGCACTGAAAAAGTTTGATCTGCGTGCTTTGATCCTTTAAATCGAAGGGTTATGTAAGGACAGGAGCAACAATCCATCACGGTTAGACCTTGCAGTCTGGGACTTCAGCAGCCTTGAAAATTAAACAACGATGTGATTATAACAGCTAAACACTCGACTCTGGCCAGCTCATTTTTCGGGCTCTGTGAGAAGAAACGCTCTGAAAATGTCATCGTTCTTTAATGCTACCAGATGTTAATAGGTGGGAGGGTTCCTGGGGGAATGAAAGCTGCTTCATAAATGATGAAAGCTGGGGGGTATTTCTAAATCTCAGCAGGTTTTCCAAAATAAAGGCTGTTCTCCTTGTTGTTTTGTAATCTTCAAATTGTTCTGTGGTGAATGATAACATCACTTACCCAGTTCTTGTGTCTCTAAGTGCTGACCAGGCACTGGACAGGTTTGCAATGAGGCGCTTCTATGAAGACAAAGCACTTCCTGTGGGTCAGCCATCACAGAGGAGGTAAGTTATTACCTCACTTCCTATTGACATCTGCTATGAGGTGAACTAGTCTGAACACTGTAGCACTTTGCCCACATTTCCAAAGGACTCTTGCAGCCCATTTAATACTGATGCTAAGGCTCTGAAGTGTTAGTAGAGGATTCAACACTTCTTAGTATTTTTACACAGTTCTACTGTACTTGAGCACTCATAACACTTTATACAACATGTCTCATTAACCACAGCATTTAGGTCAAATGCTTTCTAACATTCACACACATTCACACTCCGATGAACGCATCAGAGAGCAACTTAGGATTAGGACCCTTTCCTAAGGGTGCTTTGAAGTGGCCAAGGGTTGAAGCACTAACTTTCCGATTAGTAGAGTAATAAATCCATGTTTGACAGTTTTGTCAAAATTAACAGAATTATGACCATCAGATTCAAATTCTATATACCACTAATAAGAATGCCAATAAGAAACTAGTTACCTGTATCTAAAAATAGTGCAATTGCAAAACTCAACTCCAGCAGACAAGGCTATAGCTACAGCCGTGAAACTGAGATTCGATTTTTGGATTTTGTTTTTGGAAAAAAGGGAAGAAAAAGTCTCAGCTCCATGCTTTTAATAGTGAGTGTGTTAACTTAATCTCTCCCATTTAGATTTAGAAAAATTCTACAAAGGAAATTCTTTCTATTTTTTTCCGTTTATCACCAATTTTGTTTTAATTAGGGTAATTAAGAGGAAACAGCACCAAGAGAGGCCATCTATCTTGTCTTGTCTGTCTGAGGAATTCCACTGGTGTCTCTGGGGAGGCTGCAAGGCTTGCTGACAGTACATTCTTGTCTTTTAAGCATATCAGAGCATATTTTCTGTGACTTCATCTACACTTTTTTGCAATACAGTGGTATAACTCCAAACCAGAGCCAGTCAAACCAATCAAGAACGGTTAAAAAACATTTGAGCAATTTATTTTTTGTTGTAATTTTCACTCAAGGGACACTGTCTTCTTGTTCTCTAAGTCATAAATCTGCTCCTATTACATTATTAGCTGCCTTTGCATATTAGGCAGGGAGGTGCCAAAAGGCTTGACCCCTCTCAGTTTCCCTTCTTCACATGAGAAGATTGGTGTCTTGATCTGGGCTTTTCAGAAAGGATGAGCAGGAAAAAGGTTATGGGGGATATGCGAAGGAACACAGGAAACACCAGGGGACTTAACACCACTTCATTTAAGCTTGTGAATTAGTCAGCCAGTCATTCTTTAACAGGTCTATAGGCTTGCCCTCTGCCCCGCTGCTATTTCCTGCTTTGGATATAATTATCTCTGCCCCCAGAGACTGGCAGCATTATGGTCTGGAATGTGTGACATTAACATCAAGAGTGGGAGATGATCTTAGGCCGCTGCTTCCACGAAAGCCAGTAAAAGGCAGGATTAAAGGTGTTCCGTGTAGCACGGAATCATTAAATGATTAGTGTGAAAATAGTAGTATGCAGCAGAAAGCACAGTGAACGTTTGTGTAGAGGATTGGAAGTGTTCTGATTTAAGCTATGGGACAAAACATCATTAATCTGTTTTATGTGCTTTTCTAGTTGTTCACAAAGAACTTGAATGGAAATCACAGGAATAAGGGTCACAGTACAGTGAAGTGATGGCATTAGCAGAACCCCACATACCCCAGCTTTATCTTACTCCTGTAACTTTCAAATTGGAAATCTGTCTGGCTAAAAATATAGACTCACTGGTCACTTTGTTAGGTGTAACTCACTAGTACCAGTGTGGACCACCTTCAGTTTTTCTTCATGGCATAGAGTTAACAAGGTGCTGAAAACACTTCTCAGAAGATTTCCGCCCAAATTTATATGACAGCATCAAACAGTTGCTGCAGATTTATTGGCTGAACATCCATCATGTGAATCTCACACCCCAGAGGTGGTCTGTTGGATTGAGATCTGGTGACTGTAGAGTTCATTTGAGAAGAGTGAACTTACTGTTAGGTTCATGAGTTTTGTGACATGGTGAGTTATCCTGCTGGAAGCAAAAATTCAAATCAAATTCAAATTCAAATTTTTTTATTTGTCACGTACACAGTCATACACAGTACGATATGTAGTGAAATGCTTGGACAACTGCTCGTGACCTAAAGAAAACAAAAAATGAAAAGGCTATGAATAAGATAGGAAATAAATATGAAAAATTAAAAAGGGTCAATTTAACTAGGAAGGAATAAAATATAAATTAAGGTTAAAAATGAAATAACTGTACAACACAAATTAGAATGAAGGGTAAATTTAACTGGGAGAATAAGATAAAATATATAAA